GCTTTGAGGTCACTGGGTGAGAGGCAGGGTTGTGGCTGGGAGGACGGAGAGAACTTTGACCTTTTGGGTTTCCTGATTCCAGTGCGTTTTAAACCCGGTCTCAACGGGTTTCGGAAAAGAGGGAAGGGCAAGGATGGGGGTCCTTGCACATCCCGTGAAACCCCCGAGTTGTTAAAATGCCCCCTCCAGGGCCTCGCATAGACTCCACCCCTAGCCAAAGGTCCCACATATTCCCAGGACCTTGGGGTCTACTGGGTTCCATAAAACACTCCTTTTTCCCTGATCCAGTACAGGGGCCAGCGCCGGCGGGTCCTGGGGGACAGAGGAGGGTGGGGCGCGTGCCCCAGAGAGCCGCTCGGGGTTCAGTCCCACCCCCTTGCTCGCCCAGAAAATCCCCTCTCCCTTTTCCCTGCTGGCGTCCATTCCTGTCCCATCTTCATTCCCTGGCTCTTCCATCTTCCGAGTCCTCCCCCCCAGCTGGGTACTTTACCCGACTGCCCCCTCCCCCTACCCGGCCCCCGCCACGAGGCTCCTGCCCCTTTAAGCGCCACCCCCTATCCCCTGTTCCCTCTCTCCTCGCTGCTGCTTCTGCCGCCGCCGCCGCCGCCGCCGGCCCGGGGCTCAGGGAGGAGGCGCTGCCGCTGCCGCTGCCGCCGCTGCCCCTGCCGCCGCCGCCCGGCTCCGCTCAGCCACCTGCGCCTGCCCGGCCCCGCTCCAGGTGAGACCCTGCACCGGCCCCTCATCCCTCTCCGACCCACCGCAAGCTCCAGAACCCAAAGGTTGGGGCGCTCCTTGCTTGGCTCGGGGATTCCCTGCTCCGGGATCTCCTCAGACCCGCCGGAAATCCAGAATCCACTCTCCACCCCCGCGGGATCGGCTCCCGGGGTCTCCCCTCCACTCTACTGGAGTCTTTTCCTAGTGCATAGTCCAGGACTCTTCCTTCCCCCACCCCCACGCACGAACATGAGCAAGCACACACGCACGCACACATAACACACTTTTCCCACTAGCACCCAGAGATCTCCGAGGCTTGGGGATTCACTTCCCTTCCCCCCTCTGCTTCTAACCAGGATCAGCGCTTCACTCCCGAGCTCTTTCCCACGCGAGCCCGCTCCCCCCTCCCGCCCCCCACTCTTCCATGTGCCGAGGATAACTCGCATCCCCCTGGCTCACCGCTTTCTCCTAGGTGCGGGAAGCCCACCCCCCCACCTCTGCCCTCTCCCCTCCAATCTCTCCCCTCCCCCCCCAACCTTTCTTCCTGGGACTTTGCTTCTCGAGGTCTACGTAGCCTCGCTTGACAACCCCCCATGCCCAAGACCCTTTGTGAATGGGAGGTTCTGAACTCAGCACCTGCCAAGGATCTGAACTCTGCGAGGGGAATGTCCCACACTTTAGTCCAAGAAAGGGCTTCTGCTTTTTCCCAAGGGGATTTACACAGGGGAAGGCCTAAGACCCAGCCTGAGCGCCCTCAGGTGCCATGGGTTTTCGGAACCCTTTAGGACAGCTGGGTGTTCGGGTTGTCAGTTCCTTCTGAAGCTGGGAGTTGGAAACCAGATATTCTGGTAGAGGGAATGGGAGGGGAGGGTAACTTCCCCCATAACTTTAGGGGCTTGGGAGCTCAATGATATTTCAGAAGCAAAAGTGAGACCCTTTCACCCCACCCACCCCCACCCCGCCCCAGTCTTCTGTTGTATCACAGTCAAGGCTGGGACAATGGAGGAAAGGGAAGGATTATAGATCTCTGGATGTGCTGGTGAGTTGAACGCCCCTTTCCCCCAAAAAAACCCTCCCAGACTTTTGGAGACAGGAGGCTGTCTTGGCTTGGAAAATAAGTCTTTGGAGAGGTTTAGGAAAGAACACTTTTCTCCCCCGGTCTGGCAGTAACTCCAGTTGTAGCTTGAACTATTCTCGCCATATCTGGGGAGGTCGAAGGTGGGGGAGGTATTCTTTTACCTCAGTTGGAGATTTCAACTCCCACTCCAAGTTCGTGGGTTCTCCAGCTAAGGCCCCTCTTTTTCTCCTGCTTTCTTTTCACCCCTCCCCCTTCCAAGGTTGGGAGTGGGGGTGCTGGGAGCAGGCTTCAGCCTGCTCCTCTGAGTCATGAACTACCAGAGCAGCCAGAGAGCTGAGCCTGGCTGGGGTGGGGGCGGGGGTGTCTACTGCTGTGTTTGGGGCTGGATGCCAGAAGAACCTCTACAGTGATAGTGGACAAAAGGGGAGGCAAGAGGGTTTGGGAATGGGGGAAGCTGTGCCTCTCTCCCAGCCCTAGCCATCTGGCTAGAAACTGGAGCCATTTCACAATGGCAGCCGACCCCAGAGTTGGGTGATGCAGCAATAACATGGTGGCAGGGCTGGGGCTGGAAGGAAAGAGCAGGTGCTAATCTTCTCCCATGCCCTCCCCCTCCCCCCCCCACCACATCAGTTCTTACAAACCCACTGCCTGGGGTTGGGGCAGCGAGTGGTTCATTCTGTACCCCGGGCTCATCACTACGTATTGCAACCTCCTTTCTCCACCTGCACCCCAATTTTTCTGGCTTTTTAATCGACAGTCTAGTAGAGATGGGATGGGGGGGATAAGTGACTGGTAGCCAGCCAAACCTGGGTCAAGGGAGGGGAATGTCTGGGAAATCTAGGGTTTCTATCTCAATCTAGATGGAAGGGAGGCAAAACTGTTGTCCTGGTTAGCTAGTGACAGGTAGGAATGAGACACCCAGCTGTGAGCTGGGCAGATGGCTGTGCTCCCCCACACCCACATCCATCCTTCCTCAAAGAGAAAGGAGATAGGTATGCCTCCAAGTGTGAATCCCCTGTAGATAGATGTGAGGATGGTGGTCAGGTCTGTATCTGATATTCCCCCCGGATTAGCTCCTGCCCCATTTACTTTTCTATCCTCGGGAGGACCTCATCTACTTTAGAGAAACAGCCCCACGCTCCCTCCAGTCAGTACACTTAGTGGTCCCGGGGTGTTGTCGGTGGACAAGAGTAACACAAGGGGGTCGTGCTGGAGACAAAAGCCTAGGACCTGGAAGGGGTGGGGGCTGCCTGATTTCCAGGGCTGGGAGTCAGATTTAGGCACAACCTGCTCTCCCTGCATTCAGGTAGGTGTGTATGTATGTTTGTGTGGGTGGGTGGGTGGTTGTTGTGGTGGTGGTGGTGGGAGGGGTGTGGCTATGCCTAATCTGATAGGCAAAACCTCCACCCAGTGTTCCCTGGGCCTGTCGGAAGTTCTGCCCCCAGCAGCCAGGCATCTGGCTGAGTCTGATCCTTGTGTCTTCTCTGGGATGGAAGGGATTTGAAGGGCAAATTCTCCTTAGCCCTACCTTGTATTCCTGTGAAGGGTGGGGTGGAGTGGAGAGGAGGAAGTATCAATGGCCCGAAGAAATGGGGAGAGAAGGCTGAGAAGTTTTCTTTTCTTTTCCCTGGTTTTCCATGTTCAGCATTTTAGCTATATAATCTTTCACCTGCCATTTTTTGACGTCTTTTTTCCTAGCCATGGGGAGGAAGGGTGGAGGTAGGTTGTAGGACTGTGATCATACCCCTAATAGCATAGAGTCTGAAAAAGCTTTTTTTAGAGCAGAATTGTGTGTGGGAGGTTTATTTTTAACATTATTTAAAATTCTTTTTGAGTACCAAATTCTCTCCCTCCTTCCCAATTGAGAATTTTTCTCTCATTGAGAAGGCAACAATATGGTATTAGTTATACATTCCAAGTAAAAAGAAGGGGTTTTTAACCTCTTTTGTGTGTGTCATGGACACCTGATTGTCTAGTTCAGCCTATGTAGAATCCTTGTAATCAAGTCTGTAAATGTATAAAATAAATCCAACATCTAAGATTACAATGGAAACCTACTGAGTGGAAATACATAATTTTTTTTTTCAAAAAAGTTCACAAATTCCCGGTTAAAAATGCCTGAGACTAGATAGGTGCCCCTCTACCCCCAGGTCAAGGTTCCAGCCCTGTTTGGAACTGAGGATCAGAAAAGGGCCAAGGCCCATTAGTCCTGGGGTCACCCTACTGATTTACTTGGGAAGGGGGAAAAATTAAATTTTCTTTTCTTGAGGTCTTCCTCCTATTACCCCTCCCCTACACTTCATTAGGACCTTATCAGCCTCCCTGGCTCTTCCTTAAGTTCCCAGAGGAGTAGAGGTGAGTGGGGATTCACTCCCTTGGAAGTTTGAAAGTTCACCCTTTTTGGGTGAGAATAGTGTTGCTTTAGTTGCTGAGGGCCTGGGAGTAGATGGCTTCTACAATCCCTTCTAGCTCTTAAGTCTGATCCTAATCAAAGTCTATTCTTCCTCCCCTTTCCCCTGCCTATGGAAAGAGGAAGGTAGAGAAAGGGGTGGGGGAGGGGGGGGGGACACCGGTCTCCTTGAGCCACAGCCTCCTGGGGCCTACTGCTGCCTTGACTTCCTCACCCACATCCTACCTCTTTAGACTATTGGAAAATTAACCTTGTGCAAGGGAGGCAGGTTAGGTATGTAAAAGAGCAATGCATTGGGAGGTGGGAGACCGAGGTTCCAGTGCTGGCCACTAACTGTGTGACCTTGGGCAAGTCTATACCTTTTCTGTAAAATAAAGTAGGGTGTGGGGTTTGAGTAGATAATATTAGTAAGTTCACTTGGAACTCTGAGAGTACCTACTCAGAAATTTAAGGAAGAGAAGCAAACTCCAACCTCCTTAAGCCTGACCAGTTTGTGTGTGTGTGTGTGTGTGTCTGTGTGTGTATGTGTATGTTGTATGTTTGTGTGAGGGGGAGGGGAGAAGATGGACTTGCACAGTACTTTAACCATGTTAGAGAAAGCTCCAGAGCCCTTGACGCCCAAAGGAAGGATGGATCTGCGGTGGTTTGGTTTTTTTTTGTTTTTTGATATCTTGCTTGCAAACGTCAAGATACACCCAAGTTTTTCCCTGGCTGCTCTCCCCCCAGTGACAGCCCTGAATAGGACAGATGCTGGGCTCGGGTGCTACATACAACCAAACCTACTTTCCCCATACACAGGAAGCATCTCCACTCCTGGGGTTCTGCTGATGTCATCAGGACAGTGGTTAGTCAGGAAGGGCTAGTCTGCCCACACTGGACCTAGGTAAGCGCGTAAGACAGTTCTCCTCCCTCCTTTCCCTTCCCCCAACCCTTGCAGCCAGAGACCTGCTCACCTTTTACCGCTTCTCTCCCTTCCCTCTTCCCATCCCACCTGCCCCTTTGTGAAATTTTGTAAGAGCTTTATGGGTGCTGAAGCTGCTGCCTCTGCCTTCTTTTATGAGTCTGGGGTAAGAAATTGGCCTTGGGCGAATGGGCTCCGCGCTGTTCCCAGTTTGGAGGACACCGCGTAGGGCAGGGCGGGGGCTGGGAGTAGCTTGCGGCGCTAGGACCCAGCGGAGACGCGGAGGGGGCGGGGGCCGCGTCTCCGCGTTTTGAGGGGGCGGCGCTAGGACCCGGGGTGAACTGAGGCCCCGGCGGCGGGCGGTCCCCTCCTAGACGCGGCGCTGCCGGCGGCTCCTCCCAGCCCCCTCCCTCTCCTCTTCCCCTTCCCTCCCTCCGTCCCTCCCTCCCTCCCTCCGCCTCCTTCTCCGGCGGCGTCTCCGGCTCCTCGGGCTCTCCCCCGCCGGCCATGTTGGCTCCGCTCGGGCCCCGCGGTTAAGCCGCATCCCCGCCCCAGCCGTCCCTTCCCCTCGAGAGCGGCCCCAGTGCCCGACGGCCGGCCATGTGAACGCCCGCCCCCGGCCCTCCGGGGAGACGCGAGCCGGGCGCCCGGCCGGAGGACCCCGCCGCCGCCGCCTCAGGTATGGAGGGGAGGAGCGCTCGGGGCGGAGGGGGCACCGCCGCCGCCCCCCCCACCCCTCGCCGGGCCCAGCCGCGCGCTCCCCGGCCTGGGGTGCGCTGTGGGGGGAGGGCGCTCCCTCACGGGCCGGGGCCCCCGGGCGCCCCCGCACGAGGAGCTCCGGGCCGGGGGCTTTCCGGGAGATTCCACTTGATTCTCGGGGATCCGAGTGGGTTTCCCGCCCCGCCCCTCATGGGGAATCCCTGAGTATTTGGATGGGGGGAGAGAGCGCGCGCGAGAGGGGGATTCCCCGGGAGGGGGGGCAGGGAAGGACTCCTCTTTCAGGGTGTTCGCTGGAATGGGGGAGGGAGCGAGCCTCTTTGGAGCGGAGGGGAGCCGGAAAGGTACCCGCTTTAACTTGAGTGGGTCTTTGTGTGAGGGTCAGTATCAGCCAGGAATCCCCTGTCCCGGGATCGGGGGGGGGGCAGAATTGAGGCTGGGTTTCTTGGGGTGGGGGTGGGGGCACCGAGAGAGAAATAAGTAGTGATCTCTCCAGCATTAAAGGTGTCCCCAGTGAGTTACCTGGTAGCAAAGGGTGACCCTGTTTCTCCAAAAGTCTGGATTTCTAGAGAGCTTATGCTGTGGGGGGCCAGGGGTGTGTGTGGCGGGGGCGGAGGGGGTCCTCCTTCACTCTGGAATTGGTTGGGATGGGGGGTGATGAGTCGCTGCCACCTCCCTCTGTATACAAACAGCCCCTCCCCCAGCCTCCTGGCAGGAAGTGCTCGGGAAATGGCAGCTGTGCGTTAGGTTGCTTCTTCTCTTGTTTTGAAATGTCCTTTTTAATCAGATTTGGTTTCATTTTCTGGGGCCTCCTAGGCAGGCCCTGGCCCTGTCCATCCCACCATGTGGCCTAAGAGTCCTTGCCACTGACTTTTGCTTTTCTTCCTTCAACTCGGGCGCCCCCGAGGGTCCCCGGCCCCCCGCCCCAGTCTGGTTCAGCAGTTGACTCGTCCATCTCTGGTTTCCCACCTCCGGGACATTTCTGTTATTGCCTTTCAAGTTATTTTATTTTTCTTTTTTACTTCTTTTGGACGAGCTTAGGATATGAAAAAAGCCGATTCAGTCATCCTCTAATGGGAGCTTCCTGTACTTTCATTATGGCTGATAATAGTCTTCATATTAAGGGCATTTGAGCATCTTTCCTTTTCTCTCTTTTGATCTTCTGGACCCTAAGGGGGAGAGGAGTGGGAAGGACTCCCCACAGTGAGGTGGGGGTGCAGGATGAGAAGTTTTCTGCCGGAGTTAGAAATTTAGGAACTTGATTTTGAATGGAATTTATTTCTTTGGGGAAAGGAGTGTTTAAGAGTCTTGGAAAGCCAGGCTTTGATCTTCTCAGCCTTCACCAGACCTGAGGTCAGCCTCTGTCGGTGCCAGTTAGATATCTTCGATGGGAGGACAGAAGAGAGCCATTTTCACCCTTCTGCAAACCTAACTAATTAGGATTACAAAGGCGAGTATCATATGACACTCCTTCCCATAAAGGACGTCTTTCCTTGTGTCTCTATTGGATTGCAGTAAGTTGTTGTCCTTGTTTTTTTGGCAAGCCATGTGCTTTGGTCCCTTTGCTTAGTCGGGAAATGGCTAAAAAATAGTTTGGTCTCAAGATTCTCAGATGAGTAGGATCTGGAGATGGGGAGAATTAGGTTCCAAAACTCTAGTGAATCTTGAAAACTGCTGCTTTTTCAGTTGCTTCTCCTGGTATTTAAGACATCATTTCAATCTTTTCTTCCCTCAACCTTCCCACCTAGAGGCAGGTATCCAGATCAAATGTCCAGGAGATAATGAATGAAAAGAAAAATATTGGCTTGGAGGGGGTATGGGATGGGGTGGGTGTATGTTTGTCTGGCAGGCAGCAAAACCTGACTAAAATAACATCCTGCTTGACATTAACCTGCTTCGATTTCTGACATTCTGGGAACTATAAAATCAGTTTTTCTTGAGCTGTTTTCTTCTTCCTTTGGATACCTGCCCTTCTGTTTGACTGGCATTGCTTCCCTTCACCCCCTGTTTTTTATGTGCATAACTAGGGAATTCCTTCTCAATGTCTTCGTTGTGATTATTGCTTTATCCAGTGTTAATTATTATTTCCTCTTTCTTGGTCTTAAGCCCTTCTCTCCTCAGCCTGTGCTGGAATTCCTAGGTTGATTCTTTAGGAACCTGTTTGTTAGAGGAGTTTTTTTGGGGGGAGGGAAATTGTTGATGGTTTTCTGAGGTTTTTGTAGGGGTATAAATGGAAAAAATACTTTTTTTTCTTGTGAACTCTAGAAAATCTAGAAGCTGATGCTCGTAAAGTAGATCCTGACTCCATATGAGATTGTATTAACCAGGAGTGAAGCAGAGAAAGGTTCAGTCTCCATTATTCAGAAATTCTGAGTCTTAGTATTTATAGAAATGGAGAGCTCTCCATTTGCCCTTTTCAATGAGAAAGACATTTCTTCACCATATCATTGCCTTTCTTAGTGTTCCAGAGGTCTTAGATTTGAACCTCAGAACTCATCTGATCCAACCCAGAGCTGAATAGGAGTCCCTGCTGTAATATTCCTGCGGGTCATCATCCACTATAGACTGGATGTTAACTCACTTAGGAGGGGCCTACTGCTTCTGGAAGCAGCCCATTTCACTTTAGGACAGCCCTAAATGTTGAGTCAAGGCAGTGTGTTATAGTGAAAACAATACTGGATCTGGAGTGGATCAAGCAGGCAGGGGTTTAAATTCCATCTGCCTTTTTACTGCATTTGTCATCTTGGGCAAATCATTTAACCTCTCTGGACCTCAGTTTCCTTCTTTGTAAAATAATAGGGATGGCCCTTCTAGCTTTGAATCTATAATCTAATGATCCTAAGTAAAAATCTGCCATGTTTCTGGCTTCTACCCATTGTTCTAGCTCTGCCCTCAGGACTAAATAGAACAGACTTTATTCATCTTCTAAATACTTGAAGACAATTATTATATCTCCTCTACAATCTCCTTTCTCTATCCTAAACATTTGTTGTTATTGTTGAGTCATTTCAATTGTGTCTGACTCTCTGTGACCCCATCTGGGGTTTTCTTGGCAAAGGTACTGGAGTGGTTTGCCATTTCCTTCTCTAGTTCATTGTACAGATGAGGAAACTGGGGTACAGGGTTAAGTGACTGGCCCAGGGTCACACACAGCTGTCTAGTAAGTGTCTGAGGCCAGATTTGAACCAGGATTGGTCCTCCTGACTCCAGGGCTGGCACTCTATACACTGCACCCCTTAACTTCTTCTATCCTAAAAATGACTGATTACTTTCGTAGATTCACATCATGGTATGGTCCTGATCCTCTCTTTAATTCTAAACAGTTTTAAATTATTTTTAACCTCTTCTCAAGGGGAAGGTTAAGATTGAGGCACAAAGTTACTAAATTGGCCTGAGTCAGGTAGGAAGCTAGAGTACCCTAGCTTGTTTTGTCCTTCGATCCCATGGTGAGTTGTAGACTATAGAAAAACAAAAAGCACCAGTGTCTTTGGTTTTGTGTCACTGTTTTTTGATCCTTCTCTTGCATCCTCTAAAGAGTCACATTGTGATTCCTAAGCAGTTGGAAAACCTGGCTTTGAAGAGAGAATATTGCCACCTGTCTTACGGGAAGAGTGTACTGAACCCAGTTTGGAGACTTTGGGTTTGCGCCCTAGCCTTGTACCTTGGTCAGATCACTTAACCTTTTGTATTTTCCTGCCCACATAGTCTATGGTTCTATGACTCGGAGATGAAATACTCAATTCCAAGTTGTCCTCCCCAGACTGCTCCATGCATATGGCTTGGGGCAAGTCACTGGACCTTTTTGGATCTCGATTTCTTCATCTGTAAAATGAAAAGGTTGCTCTCAGACCCATTCTAGCTCTTAATTTATAATCCTTTGTTCGTATGTCCTTAGTTCATAGCCCTGGATAAAATGCAGGAAAGGGCTTTTTAAAAAAATCTTGATCAGTGTATATAAATAGTTGTAATTCTTTATGTTTTATGTTTCTATATAGACAGCAGAACCTATAGCAAAGCAGAAACCTTTTCCTAGAAGAGGACAGCTAAAGTTTGGTTTAATCACTTGACAGTAAAAACCTGCATTAGGTTAGTTTTATTCATCCCCAGCAGGTTGGGGGAATAATGACTAGGAATGGCTTTTTAGTCAAAAGATAATTCTACCTTAACCCCAAATCTGTCAGAAGACAACAGTGGGATGTGGGTTGTGTGGCTCTGGTGGTGAAAAGCAGATAGAGGCCGAAAGCATCTGAGTCTAAATCCCAGCT